CCCTGTAGGGAGAATGACTGTTTATACGGAAAGAGATCAGCAGTGTGGTGACCGGATGGAATCTCAGGGAAAATAAAGTACCTGGCGGCCTGTGTCAGGGCAGCAGGTCACTAATTGAGTGCAAAGCTTCTTTTTTTTTTAATGTTGTTTATCCCCCTACAGGGCATACAAAACCATTGAGGATGATGACTTGAAGTTTCCCCTTATATATGGAGAAGGCAAGAAGGTAGGCACGTGCCCTCCCCGGACTGAGAGAACAAGGCTCTGTCTCCACGGAGCCCGTGGTGATCTGTATGTTCCACTCAGCAGCTCATGATTTCATAGCCTTGACAGCTTGAAAGAATATCACCTCCATCATCCTTCAGGCCTCCTGTCTTGAGGGTCCAGGGAGTGGCAGGGTTGGGGGACGGGGGTGGTGAGCATGAGGGACTAAAGTTAATTTTGTGAAAATGCCATCCCCCTTCTCAATCCATTTGAATAACTTTTCACAGTGTTTAAACACGACCACTTTCACATACATCATCTCCTTGTGTATCTGACAACAAGCCACGAGGCAGGCAGAGCTGGCTGCCTTCTATCCACTTGGTAGATGAGGCAGCTGGGACTCCGAGGTTAAAACTGCTCAGGAAGTCACGCAGCTGGCGAGGGGTGGTACCAGACGTGGAGCCATGGCCTTCCACTTCCTTCTAGTGCCCTCACATCCCACCACGGAAGCTCAGGCTTTGCAAGGTGGCTTTTCCACTTGCCCCATGGAAAGGGGATCCAAAGTTTCACCCTGATTAAACTATAGGATCACATGGACCAGATGCCAGGTGGAGATAGCAAAGACCATCCATCACCAGCTCCCAGGGCCTCAGTCAGAATCAAACATTGTTGAGCTTAAGGAAGGCTGTTGATCTTAAAGTCTCTGAGCAGAGACTGGAGAGGGTTCCAGTCCTGGAGCAGAGATGAGGATGCTTTGAAGCCATTTCCCAGGAAGAACAAACACCTTCTGAATCATTGCATTCTTCCTCCAAACACGAATACATTTCAACTAGGCGCTGAGAGTTCCAATTAGAAGTGAAAAATGTGGTCACATTGAAAAGAATCTTCAACTGAAATTTTTTTCAGCATTTGATAGCTTTTATCAGGATGAAGTGACTCATAAGAAAACCGAAGGAGGCCTTCATGGGCAGAACTTGAGTGTATGTGTGGGTGTGTGCGTGTGTGCGTGCGTGTGTGTGTGTGAAAGAGAACACACAGGATTAGGTTTTGGGCTCAGTGTAGCCCAGCAGTGATTTCACTGGAAGGAGACATTTCATGGAGGGAAATGAAACACAGCTATTTGATCAATAAACGCATCATTTTTCAAACTAACTTGCCCCATCCCTGGTTGAGAATCATGACAGGGTAGAGCTCTCCTGGTAGGGTTTCTCCTACTCCTGGTAGGGTTTCGTGTATCTTTCTGTAGAGTGGGCGCCGTCAGTGCACATCACTCAGCCCAGTGATCTACGCCTGCAGCTGCAGTTCTTTGTGGTGCTGAAATTCTCAGTATTACCCTGCTGCTAACCAGTGGCTCCCAGTAAGCTCAGGACCACATCCTGTTGCCTTTGTATCCTTAGTACCTGTCCGGCCTGGTACTTGACACATGGCAGGCCGTCAGTAAATGCATGAGTATTTAATAAGCTATTCAGTTATGTTCAGTATACTCTCCTTGGAACAACAGGAAAATGGATAAATGTGTTCTTCAAAGCTAACCAGCAAAAAGATTTAAAAGAGCAAGGGTTTTCCCAGTTTAGCAAACAGTTCAATTCACCAGGACATCATGTTCCTCCAGCATTTCAGTTAATTAGGGCTTGACAGTTCTGTGATATGTAGCTGACAAGTTCAGTCACTGTACCTGTTGACCTATTTAAAAGCCACTGTGGCGTCAGTCTGCTCCAGGCATGCCCTGTACCAAAGTAGCATGCCTCCTCTGTCCCAGGAGTCCATGATCTCTGCAGAAAGCTTTACAACACATCAGTTCTGTCTTGATCCTTTACAGGGGTTTTCTCCTTCCTCTCTGCACACGGCCTCCCCAGAAGTTTCAGAATACTTTCACTGCTGTTACTTTTCATTTAATTTCTGCCAATGCTTTAAAGGACTTGTGTGGGACATGTAAACAAATTCAGTAACTAGCAGAAATATCAGATTTCTTTGGACTAAAATGTCCAACCAGAGAAGGTGCCACAGCAGGAAGGAGAGTAGAAGGGCTACAAGGGACTCAGAATGTCCACATTTAGAGCTGAACGCTCAGCTAGAAGGGAGCTGAGCCAGGCCCCCAGCAGAGCAGTGCCAGACCAGAGGTCCCCAGGTCCACATTCCTGTGTCTGCACTTCACCCCCTTTGATTCTTGCTTTTGAAATGTGTGTTACGGTTTCATTTCCACTTGACTGTAAACCTGCCCACCTTCTGATGTGAAACCAGCTCCAAAATCCACAGCTTTTTGGGGAAAGTAGGATGAAGATATGGTAAAGTGTTAGATTCATGCCTTAGCATTTATAAGTTATTCTTATTACCCAAGCATTAGAGCGAGGATTCAAGTTCAGGTCTTTGAACCATGACACTACACCAGGTACAGTGTTGCTGATCCAAGTGTTAGAGCAGTGGGCTTTGGTCCACCCAGAATGAGTTTCACTCCATCCCTCTGTGTTTATCTGTCTTGATGCTGGATATCCTTCTGCACAAAAATGTAGTGCCCCCTGCTCCAGGGAAACTTCTTAGTAGAATTTTTACCTCCTCTGAACTCATATAACCCATTGTTCATGTGCCTTTCAGCACTCAGCCATATTCCATATGTTGTTAATTAGACATGTACCTCTTAGCCTCCCTTACCAAGTTCCTTTGTAGGAGAGACCAGGCCTTAGATATTTGTCCCCCACAGCATGGTGCCTGCACATAGTAGGTGCTCAATAAATGTTTGAGTAAATCAAATCTGTGGCCTCCCAGGAGATCATTAGGCTGACAGTGTAGGCAATAGTTTAATCGTATTGCTTCCTTAAAGCATTTGGACAACCATGTAGAGAAAGCTACAGATGGTGTGGTCCCAGCTATAAGGTGTCTGTGTATTTACAGCAAAGTGACATCATGTTCCTTTCCACCCAGATGGAATTTGTGAAGATGTTAGCAGGACAGGTTATAGAGTTGCTAATGGTTTATTTTCTCCAGCCATAAAGTGTAATATATGAGCTTTGGGTGGGCAGGATCTGCCTCTGACGGTTTTACATCTTTTATCACAGAACCAGAGACGTAGCAGGTGTTCAGTAAACACGTGAAGGATGGATGTATAGCAGATGGGTGGGTAGATGGCTGGATGGGGGGATGGGCAGATAGTTGGATTTGGTTTGAATTGATTTCAGTAGCTGTAGACATCACAGATGTATTGTATTTAGTTTATTGGACACCCTTCCCTCCAGTCTCTGCAAAAGAAATCTGAAATGAGACAGCAGCAGTCCATTGAAATTAAGATAATTGCTAGAAAAGCCACTCCTCAAGTATGCAAGTGACCTTGGTGGGCCCTTCCTTGGAAACAAGTACCCACAGAAGTTAGCAGCCAGGGGCATGGAGAGGGGCAGGAAGAACCGGAAAACGACTGCTTCTCTCTTAGCCCGTGGCAGCCATACTGTGGTGAGAATACTTTCTCTGTGTGTGTGTGTTTCTGATGACCCTCTGCTTATACTCCTAGGCCCGAGTAATGGCGACTATTGGAGTGACCAGGGGACTTGGGGACCATGACCTGAAGGTGCATGACTCCAACATCTACATAAAACCATTCCTGTCTTCAGCTCCAGAGGTACCGCATGAGGTTTTTGTTTCTCTTTGGTACAAGAACATGTTTTCTACATTATTCTTCCCATGACTCACACCCCAGATCCAGACAGTAGCCAACTTGTGTCACATGTACTTCTGCAGTGTCTCTCATGTCTGTTTCTTTTCCCCACTCCATTCTCACTTGGACTGTGCTGGTTCTTCCCTCATGGCCTCCCACCCAGATGGCTGCACAGCCCCTAGTGGCATTCCTTGCCTTCTCAATCCAGCCCACATATTGCCATCAGGCCAATTTTCCTAAACAACTACTCTGACACCTGTTTGTTCAGAAACCTTCAACAACACCCCAAGGCTCAGAGACTAAAGCACAGACTCCGTCACTTGGCATTCAAGGCTTGTTATAATTTGGTCTAACTTAAAAAAAAAAAATCTGATCTTTGTTCCCTTACACCAGCCAGAATGAACTTGCTTTTTTTTTTTTTTTTTTTTTTTTTTTTTTAACTGTGCGCGTCCTTTTTTTTTTTTTTCCCTTTTTTCAGCGGCGATGCTCCCGGCGCGGCGGGGGGTGCCGCCGCGCAGGAATGCGC